CTCTCTTCTATAAGTTTACCTTTGATAATGTTCAATTAGATTATAAATAGAAATTACTCGTTATTGTTGATGTCCTAAGTATATTGTGTTGTTTTGTATCTGCTTCAACATAGCAATATACACATGAAGGATTAGAACTCATCTATTATCCTTTTAGCGATTTAAACTTTTTTGTTTGGTTTGATTTCGTGATTTTTTTTTTTTTTTTCCAAATTATAAAATCTGTGTTCAATATTTTTCCTTTGACTTTTGGCTCAGTTGCCTTTCTGACTTGAATTTGACCGATGTTTGTTGATATTATGCGAGGTCTCACAGATATTCATCTCGGGGATTTGCTCCTTTCCATTGTAATACTTATAATTTGAAAGAATTAAAGGTTCCTTTTTAAGATGTTCCATTTCCTATTTTCTGTTTAGCTTTTGAAGCACATTGAAACCAAATTACTACATAGAGAAGTTGAAGTTCCTGCGAAGAATAAAAAAATTACTATCTCAGTATTTATTCGTACAGGAGAAAATAATATCAACTTTTTAACCTTAGATACACATGAAATAGGAAATAATTTAACATAATTTATATCCCCAAAAGATAAAAATCAATGGTAATCATTAATACCATACGATGTCTATCTGTATGGAAAAATCATAGACTGATCAAGAAAGCATGGTGTAGTAGGAAAAATTAGAAAAGAATTAGGTATATCATTTTTTCCCCGTCAGTTCATTTTGTGAGTGTTTTTGTTTTAATTTTCTCATGGTGCTTTTCTGAAATTATAGAATTTTATGATGCACCGACACGGACATGTGTGTCCGACACGATACGTGTCGGATACGTTGACTCGTGATTTTTCAAAAAAATACCGACACGACATGTCGTCGACACGTTCGATAAATTCTTTAAAATTCTTCATTTATATAGTTTAAATTTAGTTTTATACTTATTATTGATTCTTTTTTGTTGAAATCTTTTAAATATGAGTAATTATTTGTTATTTACTAAAAACTTTGAGTTAAATATATATAATAACAATAGTAAGAAAGGAAAATAATTATTGTAGAATGTCCGAAGAGTGTCGGTATCGACACGTATCCGACAAGTGTCGGACACGGACACGCTACTCTAGTTAGAGTGTCCGTGCTGCATAGATAGAATTTGTCTTCGATGTGCATTTCTATTTTTCGGGTTAGTTGGCTTCTTATCTTTAATCTGACGTTCAATCATTAATATTATGCGAGGTCTGAACAATAGCTATCTCATGGATTTTTCTCCTTTTTATTTTCTATTGGCAAGTATGACTACTTATGCTTTATGTTATAATATAAATAGCAATAACAGTTGCTCAACATTCAGTCAATATTTTTGTGATAGTTAGTAGGAAACAAGTAGAACAATCCTCGATCAAAGTTAAAATTTTGAATACTAATGCATTATTTTATAAGTTTTTCTATTATTATGCTCGCTCGTGTTTAACTATATCATTATCATGATTTATTGGTACAATTTGTACTTTCAAAACAGAAAGAAAAATCAAATATACTATAGAAAATTACGTGTTTGCAGTGCCCTTGTAAACTCAAAATAGCAATTGACCTCCTTCTGATTTGGTCTGCATATACTTAACTTCTACATTTCTAAGAGGAGTTTAGTTTTTCATTTGTGTTTTCCCAAAATGTACTAATATGCGATTTCATTCTTTTCTTGTAAGCTTAACAATTGTGCCCCACATACTAAAAAATCTCCCAAACACCTGTTTATAGTTTACAACAAACTATATAAAAGTTCAATTCTGGGTAAATATTCACATCTTCCACTTTTCTTCTGACTTTTTTATTTAGAGGGTGTTTGAGCCACATTATTTTAGTAATAATGCATTTTTGAATAGTGTACTGATGGGAAATGTGTGGTTAAAAAATAAGAAAAATTTTTTATTTGCGTGTAATATTATTTTATTGAAAAATGTGTGGTTGAAATGATGTCAAATCATTGTTTAAGAATACATTTTTTTGGAATAATGTGGCTCAAATAGGCCCTTAGACATTCCTTTAAAACTTCAAGCTCTATATGTTTCTAGATTATAATGATTAATTACTTCCTAGTTCTACTTTGTACAACTTTATTTTTGTTGTTTGAAAATAGTCCTTATTTAATGAAATTAATTCTTTCACATATGCAGTATTAGAACGCTCTGAAAATGCTTCATATAGGTTCAGAAATTATGAGCTAGAAATTAAATTTTATATTTTTGTATTAAATTATACAAACTCATTTGGTTAATCTTTTAGGCTGTCAATAAACAGCGTCATTAATTACTAGAAAGAGCAATTGTACGAATCATAAATGTTTTACATTCTCTCGAAACTCATTTTGAGAACTATATCGTAAAAACATCTAATGATGTAAATAAATATCAAAAATAGTTAAACGGACATTAAATGTATATGTTAAAAAATGCGCATAAGTCGTTTTTTCTTTAAAAAATCAATTTTTTATTACTATTTATTATTTTTTCGCAACATTTTTCTCAATACATCATTTTGCTCAAAAAAATTATGCAATATGGCGTAATTTTTTTTCAATTATTTAAAATTTCATTTTTTTCCAAATGGGGAACAAAAACGACGCGTTCCTCCGTGCATAGAGTGCATGGATTTTTTTTTTTTTTTACATTATTATAGATATAGAAAACTAAAAAAAAAAAAACTATATCATCATAGTTGGATATATCTAATAATTTCAGACAATATTTAATTTTATAGTAATATTTTTAGTAATATTGAATTTTTTAAATTAAATATATCTAAATATTACTTTAGATTAAATATTAACTTAAAGTTTTAAGTATATTTCTTTACATAGTAAAAAGTTTGCTTCAAGTTGTAAAAAAAAAAATATATATATATATATACACACACACACACATATACACATATATATATACACATATATATATACACACATATATATACATTGTAGTTAATTTATATAGTATAAAAAGGTATTAGCTTTTATTTAAAAAAGAAAAAAAAAGAGGACTCCGTGCACGGAGACCACACAGAGAGAAATGAAATTATTATTATTATTATTATTATTATTATTATTATTATTGTTATTATTATTATTATTATTATTATTATTATTTTGACATATGTTTTTGTGTTCATTTTCAGGTTCATTTCGGGATAGCAAACGAAATCGAAATATTACATTCTTAATATCGTTTTGAAGTACTCGCGGCATAGTATTGTACGTCGTTAACGGTGCGTGAAACAGTCAATCATAGCAAAAGTTATGGGATGTCAAAGTAGGCATTTTCAAACTATATTTCGAAATTTTCGATAACAAGCTAACTTTAAAAATTCATCGACGATTGTACGATAGTCGAATCGATAAATGTTTTACATTCTCTTGAAATTCATTTTGAGAACTATATCGTAGAGACATTGAATGATCTAAATAGATATCAAAAATAATTAAACGGATATTAAACATATGTGTTAAAAAATACGCATAAGTCACTTTTCTTAAAAAAATCAATTATTTTATTACTATTTTGAAATTTTCGATAACAAGCTAATTTTAAAAATTCATCGACAATTGCACGATAGTCGAATTGATAAATATTTTACATTCTCTGGAAACTCATTTTGAGAACTATATCGTAGGGATATCGAATAATCTAAATAAATATCGAAAATAGTTAAATGGAGATTAAACGTATGTGTTAACAAATACATTTTCTTCTTAAAAAAAATCAATTATTTTTTTCTTTTTAATTCTTTTCTCTTCCAAATAAAACTTAATTTTTCAAAAATCATGTTTAGTAAAAAAAAATTTAAAAATAAACTTATTAACAAAAAATATTTCTAATATATGTAAAAATTACTTACAGTATATAAGTAAAAAAATTCGTTTAAAATTATTTAGAAGTAAAAAATAAAATAAATTTATGAAAATTAAATGAAGAATATATAAATATTATTTAATTAAAATTGAAAATTTTACTTTATAAATAATTGGTTTTTTTTATCAATCTATTTAAATTTCTTTTTAATTCTTTTCTCTTTCAAATAAAATTTATTTAATTTTTTTTTTCAAATTTTTTTGCCCTACCAACCTTGGAGTGACTGTTGTATCGTTCGAAAAATAGGCATGTTGTTAGGGTTCTAATTCTTACACCAACAAGGGAGTTGGTCATCCAGTAAGTGCAATTTCAAGTTATTTTACGTGCGAACTTGAGTTTGTTATTTAAATGTTTGTATATGTGGATGTTCTCTTTCAATTTACAACTGCATGGGTTATTTTTGAACTACAAGTATAGCCTCTCGAATCGAAGTTGCTAAAGAAAAACATTTTGCAAAATTCAATTTACAACTTATTTGTAATATCAGATAAAAAAAATATCTTCATCTATATTAAACAAAAAAATATAATAAATAATTAAAAATAAATTATCGTTGACATATATATAATCACAACATTCATTATATTTATTTATAAGAATAAAAATAAATTATCGTGACATAAAATAAACAGTCGACCAAAAGATGAGAATCAAACAAACATTTCTTATTTCAAAATACTTTTTATACAATCTATAAATTTTACGCTAATAAAATCAAAATAAATACAAAATTCGTGCAATGCACGAGACGCGGACTAGTTATAATAAGTTTTTCTAAATCATTAATATTTCTTTTATTAGATTTCTTTTAACTAATTTAGCTATTCTTGGAAAAAGCTCCTCATCTGTAAAAGCAAGTTTTTATTATTTCCAGAATTTATTTTCATAAAATTGCATGGTTTAAATTTCACTAATGGATTTCTTTTTAAGGTTTGGAAACAATTCAGTAGTGTCGGGGTCAAAAAAATTGAAGCCTGTTCTTACAAGGCCTGGAAAGGTGAATTATGACCTTATCTTCATATCTGTTCACGTCTTGATTCAGTTACATGATATTTTGTCTTCAACCAAACGTCAAATTGTATAAATTGATTTACAATTATTGACGATAAGGAAGTTGAAGTGGAGTTCATGTACTTGGTAAAATGGAAGGAAAGTAACACTCCTTTTGAGAAGAGAATGAAGTACTCAATCTTCTTCACTACGCCATCACTTGGAAATCAATTGGTTTCCAATAATCAACTCCAGTGTGACAGTTCTCCTAACTGGTTTCCTAGCTACTATTCTTATGCAAGTCCTTAGAAATGATTTTTTTGAGTGAGTATATTTTCATATCTCATCTCTGAACGTTACATTTTATACCATCTGTCACTTTACTGATTTACCAATTTTTTATTTTATTTTGTGCAGTCGTTATAAATTTTAGAAGGTTACCATCATTTTTCTCAAGAAATACAAGGTATGCTAATAGGTTAACCAGTTGGGTTACAGTCCATTGTTGCCAATCCAAGCCAGAGTCAGCAGGGAAAAAAAGTAATGTTCTCCTTTACTTGCTTATGTAATTTTAACTTTTCTTCTAATCTTTACTTCGTCCCTAGGATACAAGGCATGCACGTCAACTGTATGTTGGTGGCCTTCCACCATTGGCTAATGAGCAGGTATGTACAGATTCTCCTCCTTTACCCTGAACCTTTTTATTTCTACATTTGCAGTTAGGTTTAACAGATTTTCCAACGTGTTGTTTGTGAGTTCCTCTTAATAGTTTCTCGTATCTTGTAGCCTATCTCAGTTTTATTATGTTGAAGACCATTCCACCTTTATTGGCTATTTTGTGAAATAACGGTGATTAAAATATGACGACTTCAAAAAATATAGACTTTACACTAATTTTGTTTGTCTTTTGTATTGATTTGTGTTTTACCTGGCATTGGTTTGCATTTAAATGCTCTAGCAACAATTGCAAAGGACTACAAATTTATCAAGCATGAAGCTTTAGGTTCTTGAAGACTATCGATTAGTCCAAGCCCAAATGCCAATTTTCAACCTCTGAGCGCTGGTCAAAAATTGTTAAACTATTTAGCTATTAACTCAGAAAAAGAAATCTGTGCCATTGCAAATAGTGTTCTTATGGAAAATGCCTGCCCTGAAGTTGAATATATGGTCAATGAAAAGATCAATCAGAACGGTCCAAAGAAGAAGAGGAATGTCTTCTTTATTGTAGAATTAATTTTCATCTGCATCTAACCTTTTTCAAATGTATAACATGAATTAAATTCTCAAATGTAGGTTGGAACAATCAAGAGATGGTGAATCATGTAAGTGATGTAACTGTAACAAATCAAAACGCTTGAAACTGTAAATTCTTTATTTTATTTCTTGCGATGGTATAAATGTACACACTATGAGCCCTATTCAATTATGATTGGACTTCTTCCTTGTATTTTGTCCAAGACTTTCCATGGAGGTAAGGATATCATACTTTATAGGCCTGATAAAATAGTGAATGACCTCTCGTGAACTCCATGTCTTGTTATTTCCTTGTTGTTCAGTCTTAAGAAGTCTACTTCTTATTTGGTGTTATTATAGTGATTTTTGACGAATTCAAATGGCCATATGTCAAATTTTGGCTTACCTGCTGCGTTTAGTTCTACTGTTAAACTTATAAAGTGATTTATTAAACGTGAAGTTCTTCATATGTTTGAACTTTGATGGTTAGATTTTGACAAAGATTCTCTCTTACAAAGTGTTGTTCTCATAGTTTTCCTTATCATTCGAGAGTTGTTTTGTTGTCAACAACTTTGGTTAGGTTAGATGCCCTCCATTAGGCACTTCTCGTTATTCATAAAAATCTAGAATCAATGTCTGAAACTGCATTATGTGATGGAAGCCATTTTGCAGCTTTGACTATGCTTTAGGGTTTAAATAAAATTTTCTTAATGTAGTTACTGTGGATGCTTCGTTGCTGGTGTCTACTATGTGGAGCCATATGCGTATACGGATTGCTTCAACAAGCCTGTCCATGAGGACACTGTCCTTGCAACTCGCAAACAAATTGAATCTAGAAATTCTCTTGCTTTTGTTCCCAAAGTGATTAGGAGCTCGAATTATCCATTTGAAGCCAGGGTTAGCCAGTGAATTCTAGACTCGTGTTCTGTTAACATGGTGCTTAATCGCATTTAAATATTCTCTTTATTATTCATTGCAGGATAAGTCCATCAAAACTTCTACTTCAACTCAACATAAGATGGGACACAATTGAAAAAATTCTGGTTGCCTGAAGAAATATTGTGAATGCTATCGAGTTTCTTTTCATATTTTCTAAGTATGCGAGCTTTTCTTTAGCCTGTAAGATAAAATATTATCTTTATATTGAAGAGTTGTGTTGGATGCTCGATGAGTGTGGTTTTCTATTGAAGAGTGGTGTTGGATGCTCGATGAGTGTGGTTTTACAAGTCTCGATATTATCATTTACAATTGATTTTCCATTCTGGGTTGGGCTTTTTTTTTTAGCAGGCACAGGGGCTAAAGTTGTAAAATAAGAATCCAATGTTGGTATGCTTTGTTATATCTTTCAGCTTCCTGGATTCCATCAAACTGTCAACCGAAGCTATCTCTTCAATCTGTCCATCATTATTTGCACATATCAAATATATTTGCATTACTTATTAACCTCAAGATGATTTTTGGAAATTTACAATTAATTGTCTTTGATGTTCGAATTGTGAACATAAATGCAAGTGACAAATTCAGTGAAATTTTATGATTTAACTTATTTTTAATTTCATTTTCTGATGACTCATATTAGAAACTAATGATTCCCATGCAATTCATACATTTTTAAAGTAGAAATTGAATTGTCTTCTTAATAACACAATAGATGGACCAGATAGTTCTCTAAAATGCATTTGAGTAACGATGAATGCAAGAGGAAATAATGGAAAAGGGGAGACACCAAGGAAAGCAATGATTGAGCTGATAAGACCTATGATGGTAGAAGTTGAGATACTTGGTTAGAAAATCTTCACAAGTTCATTAGGTAGAGTTTCCTGTGCATATTGTGCTCATATTTGAAGCATATGAATTAATAATTGTTCTTTGAATTTGTAAGTCTAACAACATTTATTAAATGTTGGCAAATTGCAGTCTTCTTATTTCTGTTGTCATAGGTGCGCTAAAATGACCTTCAAAATAGCACAATGCACGGGTTAAAAACTAGTATATATAAAAGTCACTTAGTAAAATTTTCAATTTATAGTTTCTTATGTGAAATTTTTTACTCATAAATGATATTACTTACAGGTAATTCTTGTAACATAATTTAATATTTAACTTAAAAAATCAAATAAAATTAAATATTTACTTAAAATTTGAAGTTAATATTTTTTTACTTATAAGTAAAATTTTCAATTATAAGTTAATTTTATACTTTTAAATAATTTTAAATGAATTTTTTACTTATTAGTAACTTTCTACTTTTTATAAGTGAATTTTTATCTTATTAGTAATATTTTTATTTTATAAACATTTTTTTTTACATAAAAGTGTTTTTTTTATAATTATAATGTGATTTTTCTTATCTTATAAGTAATATTTTACTTAAAATTATTTTATTTGAATTATAATTAATTTTTTTGCTTTATAAATAAGTTTGTGATTAATATATTTTTATTTACAAGTTAATTTTAAAGAAAATATGTTGGTTGGAATTAATTATCTTATAGAGTGTAAAATTAGGAGTGTGAGATACAATCAAAATCCGTTGATTTGGTGGGTAGAGAGAACATGTCGAAATTGCAATACAACAAATTTGGGCGATTTTTAAATCTATAGAATAAAACTAGAGAATAAAGAAATTTTAAACTAAAATCAAATATAAATAAAGGAAATATATAAACATAATAAATTGAAAATAAAAAATTAAAGAAAAAAATGAAAAAGAAAAAAGAAATTAAATAAATAGAAAAAAAAAAGAAATTAGAAAATGTATTAAAATGTCATTGAAAGCAAAAGTAAAAAAGAAAAAGAAAATTAAAGTAGAGTAAAATAGAAAGTGTTAGGAAATATGTAATTGGCAAATCTGTGACCAAGGACCAAAATGTAATAATTGTAAAGTCAAGGATTAAAATGTCATAATTGTAAGGTCAAGGACCAAAGTGTCAAATGTCCAATAGTTCAGGGACTTGAGTTGCAATTAATCAAAGTGTTGAAGGATAGGTCTAGGGTTGTGATGGATGCCTCGAAGTTGCAAACGGCGCGAGATTTCGCTAGAGTCACACCATGATCTCGCTCGAGCCACGATTGCAAAACCACTGTCGCTAGAGCATCGCCAGCAGGTCGCTCGAGCGAAGTGGACGTCGCTCGAGTCACACTGGTCCCTCGCTCGAGCCACCTATTTATCTGGGTAACATTAAATTTAAAAGCTCGCGAATTTTTGACGCGCCACAAGACCATATGTTGAGCCCTATAAATACCATTCGTCTCCTTCGAGTTGAAGATCGAGAAAATATACATTGAAGCCATATTATTGATTCTCTCTAAAATCCTTGGAGATCAAAATCCTCGAAAAGCTTTTGTTGAAAAACTTTTCTTTAATCTTTCATATTCCTTGGAGATTAATCATTTATATCTTTCACACCAAGGTTCAAAAAGCCAAACAATCTTCTAAACTTTTCAGATTAAAAATCCTTGGCTTTTGCAGAAAAACATCACACCCTGAAACACCAAAACACCACCTTCTCTAAATCCTATAAAACTTCCAGAAAATCCTCAGATTGAAGATCCGGGAAGAACTGGCTTGAAGAGTGGGAGTGCTTGACGATTCACGAGAAGTAGAAGTCACACAAGGCTGGGATGGTAGCACAGATCTGCTAGATCCAGGAGAGTCTTGTTCTCAAACAGTAAGGAGGTTAGAAAATTGAGGGGATCAATTGTTCTGACGTACTGTAAGTTACCTTCTACAAATAGTGGATCTCTACTGGCTTGTGCTCGGAGTTTTTACCCAGTTGGGGTTTCTCCGTCAACATTCGTTGTGTTCTTTTATTACTTTAATTTATTTATTGTTACCGGTAATTCAACATAGGTAATTAAGACATGTGAATGAATCTGGACAAACTTT